AATGATACAGAAGAATCGTGRGTCAATGTCCATGCCCAACAGGGCAACACCAACAGCATAACCCAAATGTAGCTCTCTTTTGTGAATGGCGCCAGGCGCCCTATCTACTCTAAAGCCTATCGTACAACTACAACAATGAAAAGCAACCAGACAACTTGACTACCAGCGATTGATGATGTCAACACCAATGCCGACCTCCACCATCACCAGGTACGTGTCCTCTTCCCCACACTCTCCCTTGTTACGCACACAGCGCCCTTCACCTCCGAAGAACCACCTTCGCCCTCACCTCCCCTGCACCCTCATGCGGCCCGGCTATGGCCGCCAGTGCCTTGCATGCAGGCAGCGCCCTACCACCTAGCGCTGGCCTGCTTGCTCTTAGCGCAGCACTGCTTTGCACAGCGCAGCACACATGCATTCGCGCAACGTGCCCGCAAGTGCCAGCATTGGCCAAGATCCCTGCTGCCTCGCCCTGCTTGCCTATATGCCAATGCAGCGTGTGGGCGGCCTCCCTTCAGCCTGTGACCGGGGCCCAGAGGCTGAAGCCAACCCGATACAGTTGGGCCCAGGGGCAATGCAGTTGCGCCTCCTTCATCAAGGCCTGCGGCCAGATTCAGACAGTGGGCCGATTTCCCTTTGGCATTTTCGGCCTCTCTACCCAGTGTGCATTGTCGGCCTCACGTTCAAGTGCCCAGGGCCTAACTAACTCAGAGGCCCTGGGCATTTCAGCATTTGCTGAAATCCGAGACTCGGTGCACTCCAACCAACTGGCGTGCTGCAACTGTATAGACCCCACTTCGTGAAATGTCTGCATAAAGGGCTCTTGTTGATTTGCTGGCCCGCCTTCACTTAGGGCGGGCACTAGGCTTGCTGGGGCCTTAGCCCAAAACATGTACATCATGGCAAGGCCCCTACTTGAGGGCTCAATCCTCACATTCCATCCCCCTTAGCTTCGAAAGTCCGCTAAGATGCTTACTTCGCAGGTGCCTTCCCTTTTAACTTCCGTTCATAATCTGCCACCACCTGAGGAGCTGTCTCCATCAGTTCCTCCCCGGTAAACCACCGATCTTCTTTAGGATCCGTATGATGCCTGAATCTGATCCTGTACTCCCTCGTGGGTTTAGGAGGTCTTCCTCGACCCAGCGGCTTCGGAACAGGCATATCCCTGTGATCCACAACATCGTCGATGTCGACTTGTCCATCCATGGTTGGGGGCAGCATCGATCTCCTGGAAGGGAATTGATCAGTCTCAGCGAAAGGTGCAAGCTTTGAGGCATGAAAGACTGGGTGAGCGCGTAGATGACCAGGGACACGAATGATGTATGTAGGACCATCCATTTCATCTCCCACTACATCCAAAACTTCCCAGGGACCAAAGTACTGAGGCATTAGTTTGCGAGATATCGCAAATTCCTGTCCTAACTCGCTAGCCTTGACCCGGACACGTTCCCCTACCTGAAATGTGGACTGTCTGCGATGTTGATTCTCAGAAGCTATCATGGCTTGCTGAGCCTTCTTCATATGTTCAACAACCTCTTGCAGCAACTTCTCATATTGCACACCGTATTCAAGTGTGCCTGGAGTTGCACCATGTCGGTTTTCAGGTAGGAGGAAGTCTACTGCTGATCTAGGCTTCCATCCTAAGTGCAGCTGGTTAGGACTAACGCCGGTACTACTATGTATAGCGTTATTGTACAGGCTGGCGATGAGAGGTACCTGCTCATCCCAGTCATCCTGGCTGGGCTTGATGTAGTGCCTCAGCAAGCGCTGTACAACTCTATTCATTTGTTCGGCCTGTCCGTTGGCTTCGGGATGATTCCCTGAAGTCATCTGAAGTTGACTGCCCATCTGTTCCGCAGTCTTCTTCCACAGCTCACTTGTGAATCGGACGTCTCGCTCACTAATGATGGTCTTTGGTAAACCAAAATCCCTTACCCCGTTGTCCTTGAACAACTTGATGACGTATTTCGTCCTGGCTGTCTCTGGCATTGGTACTAGTCTAGCGTACTTGGTGAATCTGTCAATGATGACAAAAATGTGCCTCTTACCACTCTTGCTGGTTACTAGGGTGTCCATGAAATCCATGGAAACACTCAATCCTGGACCCTCAGGGATAGGTAAAGGCTTCAACAACCCAAGCGGTGCTTGAGTTCGCGACTTGTCCCGCTGACAGACCTGACAGGTCTCAACATACTTCTTTGCGTCATCTAGCATTCTGGGCCACCAAAATCGCTGTACTAAGTTAGCACTCGTCTTCTTGTAGCCAAAGTGCCCAGTTGCCTCATGACATTCTCCTAAAAATAAACTACGCAACTGTTCACTAGATGGAACTACCTATCTCTTTACTCCGGCCTTATCAAGATAGATTAGCCCATCCACCATCACAAACTCACTTTCTGTGGCCCTGTCTTTTGCCTGAAGTTTGCGGATGATGTCCATCGTGACAGGGTCTTCCTGATAGGCTCCCACCAATGATTGAGTTACTTCATTAGATACGCCA